TTTTTTTTTTTTGGAATTGAGTTTTGGATTTCCATGGGTTGTTAAATTACTAAATCTTATGATACTGGGAATTCCAGTCTTATCAGAATTACTGAGTATAACTCTTACACAAATGTGTGTCCACAACGCCATACAAATACCTGTAGTTCTAGAATTGTTAGAGTCAATTTTGTAACAATAATGTTTTTCTTTATGCCTGTGAGAAATTTCTAGCCTGTGTTGCCCTTCTGTCCTCTTTCTTGTTCTTTCCCCTCATTTCTCAGCACATAACAAGTAATTCCAGAATCTGCCACCCCTAACCAACCCTCCTTTGTAATCCCCAAAGTCCCATCTTCCTAAGTTCAAGTAAATCTTTTCTTTTTATAGCATAAACAGGGAATTTTTTCCTTAATTTCTTTTTTGATTTGTACTTTAAATTACCATTGTCCTTTTGAAACCTCGGAAACCACACGGTGCTAGCTTAATCAATTTATCACCCTACTGAGCTAACATTTCAACTTATCACCCTACCGAGCTAACATTTGATACCATACTTCTGTATGCATGCCTTATTTTTTATTAATAAATTTATTTCATTTATTATTTATTTGCTTTGCTTTCCAATTACACTTTCAATCTCTAGTCTGAATGAAACCAATTCCAATACATGTTAAACCCTATCCCTCACTTTTTTAATCATTACAAACTGCTAAGTCTTTTATGTTCTGGAGCTATGGCTATTACATAACCCAGGTTGGTCAGACCAATTCAATTTGTACTATATGATAATCTCTTCTAAAATAATATGGCATCGATTATCAGTAAGACTATTCAGTAAAAACAACTTTTAGTTCCAACTATTGTTGATAATGAAATAATTCTACAATTTCCCTTCTATTTAGGCAATTGTATTATGCTTGTTTGGCATCATGGATCCTCATTTCACCCATGTAAATGCCCCCTGTGTCGACGTCACATCACTTTGTTGGTTCCTAGTGAGGCCTCTTTAAGGGAGCGTCATAACTCAGCAGTCGCTGAGGTTCTGGAAAAGGTTGAAAAATACAACCGATACTTTGGTGGACAATCCAATGGTCTCATTCAGGTGTGTGCACGTTTGTTTTTATTGAATTTGCTATGCAGCTTAACAACCTTTATTCTTGGATATAACCTTATTCCAATTTGTTGTTTTACATATTAGCATGAGGTTATTACTTATTTTCCCTTTTTCATTCCTTTTTTTTTCTCAAAATAATAATTCAACCTAATGCCTTACCTGAGTGTAAAAAGGTATACTTATCTACTTCATTTATAGAGTCCTAAAGTGGATTTGTACATTGATTAAGCAAACTTTGACCCTTAGTTTGATATCATTTTTCGAAAAGCCCTTGACCACAGAATAAGCAAGTGTAACTTTGAGGGCAACAAGGGAAAGTATGATTTTTTTTTTTGCAAGTGTCACTGTCATTTTGACTCAAAGTAAGAACCAGATGCTACTGCACTGCTCATAATCAACAAAACTGTATGATAATCCTAACTTTCAAGAAAGGAACTTTGAAGGATGACCAAGTACAATGTGGTAATCCCTTGCATAAACAAACATAAAATTAGTACAATGAATAATTCTTTGTGGCCTATGCAAAGAATTTCCTAAAATATCCACTGTCGAATGGAGATCATAATTCTAAACTCTGATAATTAATCTTGACTTTCCCAATATATAAATTATCTGCATCACATGCCACTCTGGTTGTTTAAAGTTTTTAAGTTTTTTGTTCTTGCTTTGTGAGTAATCTGTATACCAACTAGCATTTTGAGTATTCCTGGTACTCCTTCAACGTTCTCTTGCACCTATTATAGTTATGTACCAAAATAATTCAATCCTAGGACTGACCTATTAGTACAAAATTCAGAAACAATTGTTAGGACTTTCAGTGTTTTGATTTTTTTGAGAGCTACTCTTATCTGACATCTGAATCCCAGTTTCTCTTTCATGCAGAGACTACAAGACCTTCCTTTCCTGCTTCGCAGGTTGTTACGAGAAATGACAGATCCTCAGAGATCTCTTCCTCTTGTCATCAAAGCTCGTGTATATCTTGCAGTTAAGTTAGTGTTCCTCATCTGGATCATTTTTCACATTACATTTGCTTTATTGAAGAATTGTCTTTCTTATAATATAATAACTTCTAAGAGCTTTGGCTTTTCTTCTGCTGAACTCAACGGAGTCTTTAGATTTATAGCTTTATTGAAGAATTGTCTTTCTTATAATATAATAACTTCTAAGAGCTTTGGCTTTTCTTCTGCTGAACTCAACGGAGTCTTTAGATTTATAATGCAGTACCTGTGCTAAATTAATGCTTTTAGAGCACTTGTGCATGTTAGATAGAGATTGCTCACTTTTTGGAGCCTTTTTCCAGACACTTTACCTTTATTGTTGCCCCGACTTTTCATCTTCCTTGAACGTATGCCCAATACATATCTGATGGACACGGGCATGAGGTCCAACTCTCCAAATGTATCGAATAACTTAAAAAATATTGAACTTAGTGACGCTGGACACATAACTGTATCCGATACTCACTCTCAAGTCTGAGTAACATAGGCGTTGTGCATACACATACTTCCTCCAACCCTTTCAAATTGTCACTTGTTGAATTTTCTTGCACTTTAAGAAGTTACAAGGACAAATGATGATATGGAAAAGTTGCTGTTAAATTGTGTTGATCAATTGAGTGTCTTTTATTTCAGTTGTGTTTGAAGCATTTTAGGAGAGCAGTAAAAAATGTTGATTAATCCTGTTAAACACTAATCTGGCTGACTTTTAGTTCTTAATGGAATGGAATCATTATGTCCTTTGCAAACAATAGCAACAAAAGTTTGGAATATAAGACATGCTGCAAAAGTAAGAAACATTGCTGCGTTATTATTCTTTAACTAGATTCAAATATGAATTTGGGAAGTTTAAAAATACTAGTGATGTATTCTAGTTTCAGATTTCAAGATTATGCAGGGAAATTTTTTCCTTTTTCTGTACATGCAATGTGGCAAGTAATAATTATAAGAAACTTTCAAAAGAGATTTGACAATGAGTTTATGGACTCATTGAAAGGTAATAGGCGTGAAGGTAACAAGAAAAAAAATAAAAAAAAATCAGTAACATTTCCTATAAAAAGTTTATTATTTCCCATTTTTTCTATAATATTCTGGTTTTTTAGCCATATCTTGGGCCATCATGCCTTGTGTATTTTGATCTGATTGCTGAAGCATAAACGATACCATAATGTACTGTAACATCAGTAACTATCTTAGTGATTGGATTTGCTAATAGGGGTGCAATCGACCTGAACTAAGCTCAGTCTGAAGCTGTTCAGGCTTTGGCTTGAGCTCCTTGTGAGTTTGAAAATTGCATATTCAAGCATGGCAATTTAAAATTTAAAAAACCTAGATTTGGTGTAGTCTTTTCCTATATATATATATGATCATATTAATAGGTTCACAAGTCAAGGTTCTGTAGGCTCATATTCGAGCTTGATTTTCTAAACGAGCCTAGATTTTTACTCAGCTTGGCTGCTGTGGTAAATGAGGTTGAGCTGAGCTAAGCTCTAGCATTTGCATGCCTTTTTCTATACCTAAATGCCATTGGTGGGCATCAAATAGTTGTTGTTGAATTTGTTATAGAAAAAAACATCATGTTGCCAGTTAAATTAGATCGTTTAGAGTAAAATGAATAATTTGTTAGATTCTATGTTTCAGTTTATTGCTTCAGCTGTTTAGTGTAGTATTTAATTCAAGGAAATTAATTATCTTTTATCAATTTTGGTATAGATATAGTCTTATTTCTCTTTCTTCTGCACAGATGTTCTTAAGTGCCATCTACATATTCAGCCCCATAGACATTATTCCTGAAGGTACATCATATTTTTGTTAATTATCTTGGGATGTTTGTTTGGTAACTAACAGTTGCTTGACATCATAAATGCTTGGTGTCAAATCACAGCAATCTTGGGGATAGTTGGCCTCTTGGATGATCTTCTTATAGTTCTCGTCTGTTTTCTCCATGTTGCTGCCATCTATCGGTCTGTTCTCTACTATCGTCATGGAGGTTCTTGAAGTTTACTAGAGCATTGATATAGGTAAACTCACAGAAAGCTAAACCCACATAATGAGTTGGAATGTATATAGTTGTATGGATAGTGAATTAATTAAGATTAGTTTCAAGTAGTTGTTAGTGTAGTATAGCAAAGTTGTTTGTTGAGTATAGTTCTGCTGGACAACTTGTGCATTTGACTTGTGTTGATAACCGTTATACAAAAATTTGATTTTTTTAATTTATTTTTTCAAAAGGTTATCGTCTGCTTACTGAAAGTTGTTGTGAACCAGACTAGAGGCCTGAATGTGCACCACCACTAAAACCTTGAATGGTCAGTTGAATGTATTGTTTATCATGTGTTCCCCCCTGCTTCTTACCTTGAGTGGTCAATTTATGCTGTTTAAGATCAGTTCTCTGTGCCAAACCTCGATTGGTCTTCCCTGCTTAAAATCTGACTCATAGACTTACAACGTTGGTGACCCAACAACTGTAACATAGCCTTCAGATTTATTGAAAACTTCTTATGCTCTTGATACACACTTCTCTACCCCTCTTAGTGCTCCTTCCGATACCCTTCCCATTTTCTCCAAATAGCTTACTCTTTTTAGCAGTTTCAAAACATGGTTGTGGACGGTTTCAGTTTTTCTTGCAATTTCATCAGACAAAACCCACAAGTAAGCACTGGTTAACACAAAGGTGGACTAACTGCAGCCTCAGTTGCCCCTTCTCATTCTCTTCGACACACTTTGTTGTTATGATTTAACGTCTTCAATTGTCAACATTGAATATGTGACTGCCTGCTACTAGTCGGTTGGAATAATGGCAACCAATTTCTTGGCTTCACCTTTTTGCTTGAGAAAAAGTGATCAAGTGTGTTTAGGATTTTGGATTAAATCTCTACTATATATAATTAGGGGTGAATTGTTAATATAAGTTGGGTCCTCTTGTGGCTTGGCTTGGCTTGCAAACAGATGCCATGATTTGGTGAAATGAGCAAAAGATGGTCACTTGGACGGCCATGGGAGGCAGCGGCTTCTTGCAACCATAAAAGATTCAGAAGAGACACTTGATGGTGGCAAGCAACTTGCGGACCAGGGTCTAGAAGGAAAACTATTTTGAAAATTAATAAATTTTGTATAATTTTGATTAAAATTTAAAAAAAATAAAGATATTTTACTTTAAAATTTAACAAAATGCAAAATATAATAAAAACTATATCCTAAATTTAAGTTAATAATGTGTTAACAAATTAATGTAACTTATTATATTAACTTATTTTTATATTAAGTTATCCATATATTATACTCTATATAACATATTTATTAATATACAATATATAGTCTATACGCTATAGACTAAAGTAACTTACTTTTTATAAGTTATTAATAAACTATAATAATATAGTATAACTTATATTAACATAGTAAATTATATTAAATTATAAATATTAGTATACTATAGTAATATAACTTATATAAGTAATTAAATATAATAACTTATATTATATAATTATATATTAATTATATAGAGTAAATATTAATAAAGTATATATTGTTCACAATTATACATTATATAATATATCTATCTTAATACACTATACATAGTATACTTACTAATCAAAAATTATATATTAACAATATACTATATTAGTATATCAGTAAAATTATAAGTAATAATTTAATATGTGGTAACATAAAATACAATATTAATATATTATTAAATAAATTTAAAAAATAAAAAGTTGAAAAAATCAATTAAATCGGTTAAAGTCAATTAAAACCCTTAAGTCGGTTTGGTTCGATTAATTTTTTTTAAGAAAGTTGAGTAAGTCAATTAATAGTTTTCCTTAATCAAATTAATCGATTTAACCAAATACTCACCACTAAACATGAAGTGGGTTGGTGATTCAACAAGTGCCCCTTGAAAATAGAAAAAGAAGTGGGTTGGTGATTCAACAAGTGCCCCTTGAAAATAGAAAAAGAAGATTTTTATAAATATAAATTTTAATTATATATAATAATTGAAATATAAATTATCTTTTTTATAAATATTTTTTTTAATGGCAGTTAGTGAGCAACGGATTTCTGTTGTGAGGATATTTTGTCCACAAAAACAAAATATCTTGAGCCAATCACTCTCTCATCCGCCCCTTCTCTCCCCCCTCCCGCCTCGGAAAAGCAGAAGAAGACATGTGGCTGGCGTCAACACCCTCCTCCTCGTCCGTGCTCTCCACCTCCCTTTGCGCAACCAGAAGTAGGTCACTCCCGCTCCGCCACAGTCGTCACCATCACCTCCGCTTCCTCCCAACTTTCGTACGGTCCACTTTTCCTTTTAAACTCTTTCTTTTTGAACATTTGTTTCTTTAATTAATATATCATTATAAGAATTATCTGCAAATTCTGACTTCAAACTTTCAGTTTATGTTCAGAGAAAATGCATTTTAAATTGCCGGGAATCATCGGGAAGGAGTTCTGCCGAGAGGGTGAGGTGCTGGGCAGTGAAAGTGGAAGACGACATAGATGATGAAGCATGTGAGTTGGTGAATGGGGTGGAGCTTTCCATCGGGGAAGGCGATGATAACATCGAAGCTTATCTCTTTAAGGCTGTTAAGAATAACAATGGAACATGTGTGTTGCTCTTGTCTGATATCTTTGGGTTCCAGGATTCAGCCACCAGAGACTTTGCTTACCAAGTTGCCTGCCATGGTTACAAGTATGTTTCTTAACCTTAAAATACCCAAAGGTTGTTTTCTCTGCTTTTTAATCCCATCTTTAATTTTTGATTTAATCCAAATGTTGCATTATATCATGCTGTCGTGTTCTAATAGATATAATATTTTAATCAATAATAATGAATTAATTATTAATTATAAAAACTTAATAAAAAATTATTTAAAATTTTTTAAATAATTCAGTAATTTTTTTGAATATTATATCATAATATTCAAGTGAAATTTGCAGCGTCCTTGTTCCGGACTTATTTCGTGGTGATCCCTGGGCAGAAGGCCGGCAGAGAGCAATGCTTGAACAATGGTTGGCTAGCCAAGATCCGGAGAGGGTTGCAAAGGACATTGCTACCTCAACAAAATGGATCGTTGATGAATTTACAGCTGCAGGGATTTCCAAGAAACTTGGTATTATTGGGTTTTGCTTTGGAGGTGGCCGAGTGATAGACGTTTTAGCTGCAGATCAGGGTGCTTATTTCAGCACTGCCGTCTCATTTTATGGAACCAGGATGGACCCAACAACAGCATCTAAAGTAAAGGTGCCTGTCTTATTCATTTCAGGGGACAATGACCCTCTTTGTCCAGTAAGTGTTTTGAGTGAGTTTGAGAAGAGCATTGGCCAGGGGTCTAGGGTGGTAATCTTCAAAGGAAGAGGTCATGCCTTTGCACATCGACCTGGATCTCCTGATGAGGATGGAGATGCAGAGCAGGCGTTTACATTGATGAGAAATTGGCTACATGATGGCCTTCTTGTAAAAACCTGAGACTGCATCTATGTTTATGGTTATCTTGTATGTTGTTAGAGGTAGAATTGGTACAGCTGATTATGACTACTGCATCTTTCTTACTATGCTCTCTGAGATTGAGGTAAATACCCTAATAGCAACCTGGTTTGGATGGTTTAGTGAATATCGGTTCAGTTCGATCCTAACCTAAATAGGCCAGTTGAGCATTCATAGGATTGTAGGCTCTTCACCCGGTTGAACCCTCAAATTCCCACCCAAGAGAGGATTAGAAGAAATTTTGATCTCCATACACAAAGGATAAGAAAGCAAGAACGATATAAGCTCTGCCATTGACAAGTAGCTTTAAAACCATCCTTTTCTTCTCCTCTTTCCACTGTGTTTTGTCTAACTTAAACATGGAAATGACCTCAAATTTTAGCTTCTTACATATGCAAGGAAAATTGACCATAATTTGGGTTCTTTAGGCAAAGCTTGCCCTGTTTCACACAAACTTGGGTGAAACAAGCTCTAAGATTATGTTTGGATTGAAGGAAGAGAATAAAAAGGGAGGGAGGGAACACTTTTAGTTTGAGCAACATTTTAATAGAAGGATGAGGTTCTTCGAGAATTAATTGCATTCATCCACAATCCTCTAAAACTCCCAATCTTGTTAAGCTCTTCAAATTAAAGGAATTTGGGGAAGCCTTCTCTCCCTCTCTTCCACTAATAATTTGAAAAGCTAGTCTAGATTCTCTACATCCTTTAATATTGCACTGTCTACCCAAATTTTAGCCACAAAAGACCACACTGTCCAGTTGTCCCATATGACCCAAATGAGAAAGCAGAAAATAGTGGGCTGGGAGAAGAAAAAACATATGACCTACAATAAATATAAGATAAAGAGATTAAAAAATTAAGACCTACATATACATCATTAACTTTCCTATGCAATGAGGCAGCTGAAAAGGAACTTCACATATCAGACAGCACTCAGCAGACCAAACAAGTACAACTCTTAACAATGATCAAACAAAATTCAAGCCTGCAACAGGAATTATTTTCATTTTCCCCTCCAAATTGTGTTCACTCATGATATAGTTAGAGAACAAAAGAAAACAAGATTGATACCAAATTTTTGGCGCATCATAATTGTTTACCCACCAACAACAATGTTTGCACTACAAATTCAAGACATATCTGGGGAAGAAAGACTAGAACTATCAACTTGTGAAAATTCTGAACTTAAACTGTCAACTTAGAGGAACTTCAAAACATCAACTCACTCCTGTCCATCCTGGAAATCAGACAGAGAACTAAATAAACTTTCAAAATAAACTTTCTTATAGAGATTATTGCAACATATAGAGTAAAATTCACATGAAATAAATTTGACAAACAACCTTCATAGACTGATTTTTTTGACAACTAGTCAAACTTAATAGACTGCTACTAAAAGTGTCAGAAAATTTGACATCTACTGCAGACATAACTAGTGCTTAAACTGCCAAGGCTGTACATAATTATCATCCAAGAGACTGGGTGGCAAAGCACCAATTGGCTATGCCCCTTGGGCGCAGCGAAATTGATTATGTGGAAAGCTTTCCATCTAAATGCTTTTCATAAAAGTATAAAGTTCTCTAAACATTTCACAACTAGTTTAGTTTTTTAATATTCTGAGAAATTTCATCTTTTAGGATTACCTTGTCTGAATTAACAGTTGTTTAATACTATATAATGGTTGTTTTAAGTCCACAGCAGTAATTAAAAAATAAATAAGATAAAAATATACACCAAAGAGATGGCTTAAGGATTTGTTGAACTCCAAGAAAAAGAGGCAGAGAGAGAGAGAGAGAGAGAAGAGAGAAGTGAAGAGAGCACCCTATACTTCACAATGTTTCAATAGTATGGTATAACACTGAGTAGGTAACTGACCTAAAGATATCTTCCTGTCCCTTTTCTAAGCTAATGCCTATAAGCAAGTTGCAATAACCAAAAGAACTCTACTCAAACAGCTCACATGCATCTTAGGAGAAGAGTTCTTGTCAAACTATCAGATAACTGACACATACCAACCTTTCAGTATCCCCGAAAAACTCCAACTTCCTATATTAAAAATTTATGAAATATGCCTTGGTGTGTAAATTTGATCCATCAGTATCACACTATTTCAGTACATCATTCTCTTTTAGTTCTAGTTGTTATCATAAAAAATTATCTTAGGATAAAATTTCTCATCATCACTAACATTTGATTCAGGTTGCTGACTCCTATATGGCTCTAACATCATTGGTTGGGCATGGTGTTGAAGTTGAAGATATCATAAATGAGTTATGTAATTTGGCCAATCATAACCTAACCCAGAATGGCCCTACTATTGCTGATGCATATCCACCCATTTGACACCTTAAAAACTATTAGCAGGTTTATGAAAATTTTTACTTTGGTATAGACAAAGGATAACCACTAAAAACAACTAAAACATGAAAGTACGACCTTAAAAAGGAAGCAGTCCAAAAGATTAAACTCTTAGTTGAATAAAACGTTAGTCCTACCTGAGGAGCAGGAGCATCTGCCAGTTTAGGAGGAGCCAAAGTTGCAGAAGATCCATCAAAAATACGAGAACAATCTGTGTATGCAGATCCAATTCCAATCCCAGCACCAAAAGCTACAGATGCCCATCGAGTCACTGGACTCCCTGGTATGACAAATCAAAATGCATCAATATTATGAATTCAAGGAAGGAAAGTAAAAAAGAAAGCCCAGAACTAACAACCCTTGGGTAGAAGACTACCATAAAAAAATTCAATGTAAATCAAAGGGACCAAACTAACTATAAAAGTTAAAACGCATAGTCAGTTTAAATGTTTAGGCTTTTCTTGGTAGGAAGGATGGAAGGAAAAATTTAAACTCAATGGTTAAGATACAAGATAGGAAGGTGGTAATGAAACACAAGATTTAAAACCTTTCCCTTTCCATCCTCTCTGTGAAGCAAAACCTTAATCCACTTCATCATTGATTCTAGGCAATCTACAAAGATGGCAAAATTTCGCTTCTAACAGGAGCTAGTTCTGCTGTTGGAACACAAGTCAGTGAAGTAAGACACACACATAGGGATGCAAGTACTGCTCAAATATCTTAAGATAAGAGCATGATATGGTATCATCGATCATACACAGATCCTTACGGAAGCCACTTGCTCTAAAATGTTTCGAATTAAATGTATATTAATGGGTAGGTATGTTCATGTATATGTATGTGCCTAATTATCTACATCCATATCTATGAATGGGGATGCACATGCATGTAAACTTTAAAAGCACAAAATTCCATGTCGCAGGTACAAAACCAGAGGCACTGAGAGTTAATTAATTACAATCTAATGAAACAATTACAAGACCTTTGGCATTCAAAACAGACATAGCTTCATCCAATTTCAGACATTATTAGATATCGCCGTATCACAGCTTATCCAAAACTGCTGGCAGCCAGACAATCAGAAGACATTTCTAGAACCTAATGGACCAATCTGCAATCACTAGAACTACAGAACACAGATCCAAAAGCCATTGACTTTTTGGTCATCTGGCTTAATCTATAACTCAAAAACGCTAAATTCTAATTAATTACAATTCTTTTCAACAATTAAGCAATTGAGCAGTTCAAAAACAATATCTTGAAAGAAATCAATTTGGATGAAAGAGAGACAAACTGAAGAAAAGGAGGCCGCCAAAAGCTCCAGCCAAGGATGAGTAAACGAAGCGGCGGACCGTCAGATCGAGGCAGGCATCCCATTTTGCGTTAACGTCATACTTTGCCTGCATCAAGTCCTTGTTCTCTGCCATTTGCCTTTTTTAGTTTTCAATTACTACTATAATTTTTCCTTCTTCTCCTTCTTATTGTTCCTTTGATTCCTTCTTCTTCAGCTACGATGCTTCCAGCTAGGTAACGATCGTTGCGCTCTTCCCCTTTCCTTGGCATCCGTCTGTGGGAATTCGGGAATTTTCCGTCCCCTTACTTTTTCGGGTCTAGGGTTCCACATTTTGGGCTGCTAAATCTGGGCCTTCAAATCTAACTTTGGGCTAACTGTTTGGCAAATCTTTAAAAATAAAAAATAAAAAATGAGTTTACTTCACACAAAAAATCAAAAAGAGACATAAAATCGGACCCAGAGAGTATTTCCATACATACTTCAACTAATTTTTATTAAATATAATATATAAAAAATTGAATAATTTTTTATATTTTTATTATATTCAATCAATTTTTTATATTTTTATTTTAAGTAAATAATTTTTTATATTTTTAATTTTGAGTTAAATAAACTCTTATAACTAATGATTGATTTAGTTAAAATGTCATTTGTTATTTTATTTAATATGACATTAATCGTGGTATGTAAAAATATTATAATTAAGGATAATATAATATGTTAGTATATCATAATTGATAATAACATGGTATGCTAATTTGACATGATAACATAATAATATATCATATTTCACTCTACACATCAATATCATATCACTGTTATGTAAATATAAAATAACAAATGGTATTTTTTACCAATACAATCCTAAAGGTTTATTTGATTTTAAATAAAAATATAAAAATTTGATTAAATATAATAAAAAATAAAAAATTATTTAAATATTTTTTACTAATTTAAAGATTTATTTAAATATTATATTTTTTTATTATCTTGACTCATAATCTGATTAAACATTTAATTTTTTTTATTATTTTAAAAAAAAGCTTTCAAGTTTGATCTAACCCGACCACACCGGCATCCACATATCCAACAACTTTGGACCACTTTGATTTGGATTTTAAACCCATTTAAGGTATTTGACCTTTTTCTCTTTTTGGTTTTTTATTTCCCTTTTTATTTATTTATTTTTTTCTTTCTTTCGTACACATATTTAAATTTGAGAAATTATTTCAAAAAAATTCTTTGAATAATAAAAATTATAAAAATGACATTTTTTTTATATACATATTTAAACCTATGAAACTTTTTTAAAAATCCTATTTAGGAATAATAAAATATCGTGTTAAATTATTAATTAATTACATTCAAAATCATAATTATTTAGAATAAATATTTTTTAAAAGGGAAATTTTAAAGAAGTTACAAGTGGTGATTTTCTTAAATTTTTCAAAGTGAAAATGATTATGGGACCTTACCAAAAGTGATGGGGGAAATCTCATATTTATTATTACAAGGAGACTTATTTATAAATAATTAATAAAATTTAAAAACTAATAAATATAATAATTAAAATATTCTATAAATTAGAAATTAAACCTATGATAGAATTTCAATGAAGTTGTAGGTGAATTTTTTTTTTTGAATTCTTAAGTGGGGAAAACATTCTAAAGTTTCACCAAAATTTAGAAGAAATTAAAAAAAAATTCAATAAAAAGATTTTCATTTCTTATTCAATAAAATGTTCATATTGCATCACATATATTTTAATTTTGATAATTCAAGTAAATAAAATATGCCAATGATAGAATCTCCCAAGGAAATTTTACTGGCAAATTTATTAAAAATTCTTGAGAAGATAAAATATTTCTAAAATTCAATCAAAGTGTTAGGAGAAGAAGAATCAATATAAAAGTTTTCATTTGCTATTGAATAAAATTGGCAAGTGTTCAATTCATGAAATGAATAAATAATTCAAAATATAATTGGTAAGAAGTTGGGATAATAGTAAAATTGCAAAAAATTAAAAATAAAAAACTAGGAAATAAAAAAATGAAAAATTAAGGGAGAAATAATGACATGAAAAGAAAAACAATCAAATCAAAGCCTTTTACATAAAAAAATTAAATAAATCGGATAATAGAGTTCTTAGAGTTCTTTCCAGAAAATAAATGATGTTCTTAAATACTTTCATGTGAGGAGAATTTAACAATATAATAAAAATGAAAAAATGAAAAAACAATCAAGAAGCAAGGTTAAATATGAAATTAAAGATTATTTATCAAGGTTAAAAAAATAACACATGATTAATTGATATTATTCTTTGAATAAACATAATCCTATGCAAAATTTTATTCTCAAACCCATTTATTTTGTAAATCAAAAGCTATTTTTTCAATGAATCTTAATAAAGCTTATGATTATATTAAATGGATTAAATCAATTAACTGATTAGTCGCGCTTAATAGAAAAAAAAAAAGATTGATGATGACTTTTTTACATATTAATTGGTTTCAAATCCACAACAGTAGAAGTGCCAAATAGTTTTTTATCCTTATAAAAAACCTTTTTTTCTATTTTCTTCTAATTTTTTAATCTTTTTTAGTAATGTCCAAATCACAAAACTTATTTCGTGTCTTTTACATCATGTGACAAAATTTATTAGTTTACATGTTATTTATTTAACATGACAATCTTATCTCAATTGACAAATGGGGTTAGTTCTATTAGTTACATGGCAATTTCAAATAAAGGCTCAATTAGTTCTAAATGAAATGTTAAAAGAGAATAATCAATTGTAATAAGAAAATAAAGATTTAGATAAAAAATTAATATATATATATAAGGGTTAATTTTGTATTTTAATTTTTTTAATTATTATGTAAAAGTACTATGAAGCCACTGCAATGATAAATGTTAAAAGAGGGTTCAGAAGTGATTAGACCTGATTGCTTCGGCTTTTACAAGTCCACTGGCCAAGATATTTGCCTCCTTAATAGTGTGGGTAAAAGAAGTTTCCTTGATGCCTGTTTTGAGTGATTCGATGTAGTTAAATATGTTCTTCATATGCCAAGGAATTGAATTATGGTCCAAAACCTAGCTAATGGGGTTCTTGAAATCACTTTCGATGTGGAGATTGCATGAGGCCCATGGAAATGACAAGAATAAAGAGAGATGTTCCTTGATTGCTAAAAACTCAATGTAGTTAGACTAATTGGTGTGGATGTGCGAAGAGAAAACTCTCTTAATAAAGCCATTTTGGTATCTAATGACGCCCCCAATTCCCGTAAGTCCTAACTTACTGACGGTTAATTTGTCGACATTGAGTTTGAAAGAGCCTGGGGGTGGTCTTATCCATTTCATGTTAGCTATTATTTTGAGTTTCCTTTTCTTTAGTGTGATTTTGCTTGGTTTGAAAAGAAAGTGCGTGGTTGGGATGTGGTGGAATGGCCACTTACCTTAGTATTAGTGAGCAAGTCTTACTAGAATGATGTTTTGAAGGTGATCAGTGTCGAGGTGCTTACCTTGGAGTAAGATTTCGTTCTTACATAGTCAAATTGACCAAATGGTGGAGAAAAAGCATTTTCCAAATTTGGAATGACTTGAAGGTGGATTAAAATTGTTCCATGCTGCATAAAAAATTGGTGGCGTGTACGCACTATAAACCTCATAAGGCGTTGTTGTTCATCCAAAGCTACCAAGCAACAGAACACATAAAAAAAAAGGAAGAAGGGCTTTCTGTTGTTGATTTTTCACGCAAGTGCACGTATCGTTAACAAATAATATAACAGTAAATAGAATTTGTTCCCACAGAGAATTGAATTAATTCTTAATTGCTAACTACTAAAATTGTAATACCTTAATTTATTAAATAGAAAAATTAAAACTAATGAACTGAAACTAAATTAAATAGTAAATTTGTTTTATAAAACTCACTTACCTACCAGGCCTAAGATTGTGGTGTTCCTTAATACTTCATCTAACTATTGTCTCTCTCTCTCTCTTAACTTAGTTTAATGGAATAAGTTGCTAACCTACAATCCTAAATTATTTATCAGCTTCTGTCAAGTTTCTCATAAAAATACATCTCTTAATTAATTTACTATATGTCTATGCAAATTAAATTGAAGAAATATTTATTAAGTTCATACTCTAATTTTGGCTATGTTTGGCTTATAAGTATATGTCTACCTTATATGCAAATCAAATCACCTAATTAACTAAGTGCATTCGATTATATGCTATCCTATTCAAGGTCTACCTAAATCTCCTTTGTCAAGGTTTAACCTGGGTTTCCAATTCAATCTAATTGGTGATTAGGTAATTAAAAGCATTAAGAAAAGAATAAAATAAATGACTTAAATCCATCAAATATAAACAAAAGAAGAATAAATAAATCAGACTACATATTGAATTCAATCATAATCTTAGATAAAAAGTTTAGCTCCCCATCAAGTCACATATTATCATCAAATAAATTAAACATTAAAAACAAAACCAAGGGAATAAGAGAATAACAAAAAGATAGAAAAAACTAAGGATTATATTGTTGATCTTTAAGTCTCCTTGAATCCTTCTAATTCTTCTTGGCTTCAATAACTTTGTGGCTTGACTCTCAACTATCAATCTGGTGTTTTGTTCCTTCTCCAAAGTCTTTTGAAAGGTTATTTTTATAAGACTTTGAAGTTAGGTTAAGTTGGGTAAAGAAAGAAGTCAATTACAACTGGGATTTTCTCATAAGACTATGTGGCTCACAGCCTTGCCCAGTTAATTAACAAAAATCATAATTGCTCTAGGATTGCTACAGTAGTTTAGTTTCGACAAGATTTTTTACCATTTCTCATGCTGAACTGGGTGAATGATAAATACAAAAGTTGTAGCTCTTTCTCTTATCTTTCCAAGTTTCAAAAATCATCTCATTTGGAACTTTGAAAAAAAAGTTATGGCCAAAATACCGAAACATGTGTAGTAGAAGTTTACACCTTGAAATTGCTCTTCTTCTTTCACTAAAATTCTTTTTTCATCAAATACCTACAAAAGCACAAATAAATCAATAACAACTTATCTTAACCACAATAACATGAAATAAGGCATAAAATTAACTAAGATTAAATTAACTCACCTAAATTAACTAATTTAAAATAATAAAATAAAATCTACTAATTTTTATGTTTTACTACAAGAACTAAGCTAAATTACTATCAAAATTAAGCCTAAATAACTCTCTATCATAAAGTGTTCAGTTTCAAGTTCAACACAACACATAGTAAATTTTGCAGCATTAATGTCAAGCACCTTTTTTTGTGAAGTTCATGTTTGACAGCAACTTTGCCTAGAAGGACCTGCCAAATAAAGATTCTAACCTTTAGGGGAGTTCTGCTAGACCAAAGTAGTCTTTAGATTGGTTATGGTTGCCAACATTTTGATTGGTGAGTTTGAATAAAAGAAAAGGGCGTGTATCTTCCATTACTGGATTTTTTCCATATTACTCTATTTAGGTGGGTAGGGTGAGGTTGAATTAGGTTAATAAGATCAGAGAAGGAATTCCACTACCCAATTCCCAATTGAAAGGGTTACGTCTAAGCTGGATAGACCACTCCAAGAGTTGCTTTCCCAAGAACCAAAATCAACCACCACTTTTGTTTTATTGGAGGCTAAAACATAAATTCTAAGGAATTTGAGAAAAAAAGAGGCCAATCATCAATCCAAATCTCAATCCAGAAATGGATTATGAGGCCATTAGTAGAAAAGAAACCAAGATTAGAAGTCACCGCATCATGAAAAGCATTGTTAGAAAGAAAGGGAGCTAGTGATGTTCCTCCATAAAGTTGATGATTTACGTGATGGAACAATAAGGAAAAAACCTTTGGATTAAACTTGTTCTTGGCTTTAATAACATTTCTCCATAAGTCGAAGCGCTTGTTGGCATATCACCATAACCATTTATTGAAAAGAGTGTGATTTTTCAAATCCAAATCAACAATACCAAGGTGATCGCAATTTTTGGGTATTGTAACAAAAGACCAGCCAACATTAGTGGATTTTTCTCTTTTCATCGCATCCTAACTAGAAGAAGTCTTTTTGAATTTTTTCAAGTTGTTCTTAATTTTCATTGACATTTGAAGTATGGAAAGGTAATAAAGAGGAAGAGTTTTGAGCATTGACTTTATGAGAGTAAGTCTCCCACCCATTGAAAGCTATCTTCCTTTCCAACTAGCAAGCTTAGAACGGAATTGCTTAATGATCAGTTGCCACAAAGACTGAGAATTAGTAGTGGAACCAAAAGAAAGGCTAAGGTAATTGGTTGGGAGCTTGTTGACTTTTTACCTAAGAGAAACGGCCTATAGTTAAAGGCTTTGATGTGATGCATTGATGCCAATTAGGCTACTTTTGGCAAAATTAATTTTAAGCCTTGAAACAACTTGTGAACCATTGAGAATTTTACTCTCATTTTTCAGATAACAAAGGATTGGCTTGTAAAAAATGAAAATGTCATCGACGAACTAAAGATGAGAGATGGGGGAAGATTATTGTGGATGCTCAAACCCTCCAAAAGGTTGCAAGATGTTGCTTTGTGACTCATAATACATAGATACTCCACAACAATGTTGAAAAGCATGGGAGAAAGTGGATAACCTTACCTTAGGGCTCTTTACATGTGAAATTGAGATGTGGGAGAGCCATTGACAAAGATAGAGATTGAAACTGTAAAGATACAATGTCGAATCCATTTGCACCACTAGATTCCAAAACCCATTAGCTTCATTAAAAAGATTCAATATTTCGAATCGACGTAGTTAAACGCCTTTTTGAAATCGACCTTAAAAATGATCCCATGTGCTTCTTTTTCTTTATAGAGTCAGTAAGATCATTAGTAATGAAAGAGAAATCGAGAATTTATCTCTTTTTGAAAAATGTGAATTGAAAGTCATTGATAATCGAACCCATAATTGGTCATAGTTTTGTTAAGATCTTGTAAGCGCTCTTAACCAAGTTGATTTTCTAAAATTGAGAAAGAATGGTGATGCTTTTGCAGTTTTAAATTAAGGTAATGAAAGAAAAGTTGACGTTCCTGTTGAATACACCATTAATGTAACAGTAATTGAAGAAATTTAGGACATTACCTTTGATTACAGGCCATAATTTCTTGTGGAAGTTAATGTTGAATCCATTCGAACCAAGCGCTTTGTTTTCATCACAGTCCTAAATTGGTCTACAAATTTCCTCTTTAATGAAAAAAGTTTCCAAATGTATTCTCTATATGTCATTGATACAATGAAAAGGGCAATTGAAGGATTGAGCTCGAAGGTGGGACTTTTCTTGTTAAAAGCCTTAAAATGCTCAATCACTTCAGTTTGGATGTCTTCTGGGTTTTCCAAAATGGTTCTATTGGCAGATAATTGTCGGATTAGATTCGATCTTTTACGATTTGAGGTTGTCAGATGAAAAAATTTAGTATTTCAATCACCCAATTGTGACCATTTGAGTTTGGACTTCTAGAACCATAATTTTTTTCTCTTATATAAATATCTCATAAATAGGAGTGCAAGGTTTGAAGGGTGGTTTTTTCTATGTGGACAATGCTCTTACCTTTACTTCTATTTCAATTTATTAATTTTTTACTCCAATTGAGTGATTTGGTTGGTGTGTTGATTGTGGTAGTCTGATTGCCATTTTTTGATTACGAATTTAAGTTTGAGTTAATCAAAAAAATCTATTCTAATATTGGTGTTGTTGGTGTTGTTAAAATTTTGGATCGATCTATTTATTATTAAGATATTTCAATTTTAATTAATGTTTAATTGTCTTTAAATATAGTAGTTTGTGAATCTCATACAAAGAAAAAAAAAGAAAAAGACATAATGTTTTAAAAAATTATTGAACTATTTAAGAAAATTTAAATAAGTTTTTATTTTTAATTACATAAAATAAAATCATTTACTTTTATTATTTTATATTTTTATATCACATGGTATTGACGTAGAAAATGAAATATGTTAAATGTTTACGGAAAAAGTGAAAAATGTGACAAACCTTAAATACTAGTACTAGTGATACTCGTTGAAATAAGATTAATGACTTCGCACTCCAACAAAAGCATCTCACAAGTTGAAGAGTAGTGTAATCCTCTATATGCTCAGTTTTACTCTAATACATAACATAGGATGTGATATTCATGGCTCCCTATTATCTGTTAGGACGTGTTAACATATCATGTCAATATTATATGATATAAAATGACAAGTAAAATTTTAATTAAAAGTAATTACAAACCTTAAATACTAGTACTATACATACTTCTTGACATGGGATTAATGGCTCCACACTCCAACAAGAGCATTTCACATGTTGAAGAGTGGCGTAAATCCTTAAATGCTCAATTTTACTTTAATACACAATATCAGATGTGAAATTCATAACTCCTCATCATTTGTTAGGTCGTATCAATATACTATGTGAATATCATATAATAAGTGATATTTCAGTTAAAAATAATTAGTCATAATAATCTGTTTGACTCAGAATTAAAATACAATAGATTAATTAAATGTAATAAAAAATAAAAATTTAAAAAAATTTCTAAATTATTAAAAAAAATTTAAAAAATATTTTGTCAATGAAAAATGAATATATATATATATATATATATTGGTACATAGATAAGAAATTGTTCAAACTTAAAAGGGAGAAAGAAAGGTAGTGGTAAAAACTTTTGATTGAAGGCTGCAATGCAAGGGTGAAGTGTTGTCTGATAACACAAGAAGGGAGCATTGGCATACAGTTGGAGAACTTTTTAGAGCATAGGATTCCATACCCCTTTTTTATTACCGTTCCACCCTTGTCCTTTTGAACCTTCTCTTGTTCTCTTCACAGTCTTCACTTCACTTCACTACCTCTCTCTCTCTCTCTGCCCATTCTTTCCCTTCACATGGCCGATGAAACTCCAGCCCCAGCTCCCCCTGTGGCGGCACCGCCGCCGCCGCCGCCACCCGCCGTAACTAAGTCTGATTCTCCAGCTGTTGTAGAAAAAGAAGACCCTTCACTGCCGTCTCCTGTAGATGTTGTATCTGTTTCTGTTACGGAATCTGTTTCAACCGCTATAGAAGACAAAAAGGAGCAGACGCCGCCGGCGGAACCTGTTGAACTGGTACCTGATTCAACGGATAAAGCAAAAAAAGAAGAGCCGCCTTTACCGCCACCACCGCAACCAGTGGAGTCAGAATCTGAATCACCAGCTGTGACAGAGAAAGCAAAGGAAGAAGAACCACCAGCTGCAACAGAAAAAGCAAAGGAAGAAGAACCACCAGCCCCAGCAGCAGCAACTGTAGCGGTGTTGGAAACTGAGCTACAGCAACCACCAGAACTGCCGTCGCAAGAGGTGGTTACGGAGTCGAAGTCGCTGGCGGCGATGATGGAGAAAGAAGAGGCAGGAGCACCAGCGCCTACTGTGTCTACTACCACAACAACTAGTGCTGAAGAAGACGTTGCTGTTGTTGTTGAAGAGAAAAAGATTCCTCAGAATTTGGGTTCTTTCAAAGAGGAAAGCAACAAAGTGGCTGATCTATCTGATTTCGAAAGAAAAGCTTTGGAAGAACTGAAGCGGCTTGTACAGGAAGCTATAGATGCTCACCTTTTCACTTCAGAAACCAAAAGTGAAGAAAACCCAGATAAGGAAAAGAAAGAAGAGCCAAAAGAGGTTTCCATTTGGGGTATCCCTCTTTTAAAAGATGATAGGAGTGATGTCATCCTTTTGAAGTTCTTAAGGGCTAGGGATTTTAAAGTGAAAGATGCGTTTGTAATGATAAAAAACACGATCCGGTGGAGGAAAGAGTTCGGAATCGATGAGCTTTTGGATGAAGATCTTGGTGATGATATGGAGAAAGTTGTGTTCATGCATGGACAAGATAGGGAAGGGCATCCTGTTTGTTACAATGTTTATGGGGAGTTTCAGAATAGGGATTTGTACCAGAAAGCGTTTTCAGATGAGGAGAAGCGAATGAAGTTTCTTCGTTGGCGGATTCAGTTCTTGGAGAAGAGTATCAGGAAGCTTGATTTTAGTCCTGATGGTATTAATACTATTTTTCAGGTCAGTGATCTCAAGAATTCTCCTGGACCTGGAAAACGGGAGCTTAGGTTGGCAACGAAGCAGGCTCTTCAGTTGCTTCAGGACAATTATCCAGAGTTTGTTGCAAAACAGGTTTGTTTTATATCTCTAATGTGGGATTATTATTCTCTGTCCGATTTTTTGGAGATTCATAGATTTCAGTTCTGTATTCTCTTTAGGTGTTTATTAATGTTCCTTGGTGGTATCTCGTGTTCTATACGATGATTAGTCCATTCATGACTCAAAGAACCAAGAGCAAGTTTGTTTTCGCAGGGCCGGCGAAATCTGCTGAAACCCTTTTCAAGTGAGTGAATTTTTTTGAACTAATTGAGTTGGTATTCTCCATATTCTGTAGTACACCTTCTTAGTGGTTAATATCCTAAATTTTGATTTATAAAACAGGTACATAGCACCTGAGCAAGTACCAATTCAATATGGTGGCTTGAGTGTGGATTACTGTGACTGCAATCCAGAATTCAGTGATGCTGATCCTGCCACTGAGATTACTGTGAAACCAGGGACCAAGCAAACTGTTGAAATAACAATCTATGAGGTGCAATTTCATTGTTTCTTCATGCTATACCTACATGTGATGCGTGCTCATCCCTCATTCTCCTCTTATTTACTAACTTTAACTAAATATAAGTGGCTAATATGTATTTGTGCCAGTGACCAATGTAAGGTATCTTCTCTTTTATAAATAATTGGTAACTTTTGCACTGCAGAAATGTGTCCTTGTTTGGGAGATCCGGGTAGTTGGGTGGGACGTGAGCTATGGTGCTGAATTCATGCCAAATGCTAAAGATAGCTATACGGTCATCATTCAGAAGCCCACAAAGATGTCTCCAAAAGATGAGCCAGTTGTGTCCCAATGCTTCAAAGTTGGTGAACTGGGTAAAGTAATGCTTACGGTTGACAACCCAACTTCAAAAAAGAAGAAGCTTGTCTACAGGTTTAAGGTTAAACCCTACTGCGACTGAGGGTATTATTCTCACTATGAAACATGGATATGGAAATTTAATTTATTCTTCTCTAATGGGCAATTTGCTTTTTTTTTTTTTAATTTATTTTTGTTTTGTATCTTTGTGAGGAGCATGGCTGACAGGGAGTTGCTCATGGTTTTAGATTTTGTCTTGGCACGTGGGGTTTTCCAAAGAAATAGATTTGTTGCTCATTGAGCAAACACACAAACTTCTGTCTTAGTGGGGAGAATGTGGCTGTAAAACTTACTGTATGTGTATCCAATTGTTTTGTGGTGTTGTGCACTGTATATTTTCTTCTGTATCATGTCTATATTTTGGAACTTTTACACTCTTGTAGATTCGGAAGAACATAAGTTATTGTTTGGTTTATGTAATCCTTCGGATTCCTTATTGCTATTTGATATTAATTTTCTTTGAAGAAGGAACCTGTAATCCCATTCTAGCTTTTAAAAACTTTTAAGTTGATGATATTTATATTTCAGCCCTTTTATGGTTGGTGTTTATTATCTGCATTTAGCCTACTCGCTATCATCAATGCATGCTTCATATTAATTTTCAAAGACAAATGCATGTTTCATTTTTGACCATTCAGCTCAATCGTGGATTCTAACTTTTTACGACAACGTATCATGGTGGATTTTACTAGGACGTGCAGGAACTGAAGTTGCTTTTAGTTGAAGAAAATGGAGTATAAATCTTTGCAGGAGCTGGGAAATTGTGGTTGCATATTTAAATCTGCCCACTATCAATACTTTGTTATTGAACTTTATTCACAATTGCTACCAAATCAAGACTTGTCTGCCCCCCTAGGATGTGTTATTATTGTTGATATAATTGTTTACTTTGAGTTGCCATAAATGAGTAATTATTCCCCCTTTTGCTTTTAAATCTATATACCAGAAAAACTTGTAAATGAGTTGCTGCCAACTAAAGCGATCCCAGCAAAATGCATGGGAGAAAACACACTTTTAACTCCATAATGCTAAGTTCTTAGTATGTGTAGAAACTGGAAGGCTGTTGCTTGACGTTCTAGCTGAATAATCAAGTAACCCTAAGAACTTGATGTAGGATTTCTGTGGGACAGTCTTTGTTAACTTGGGAACTTGGGTATCTTTGGAAGTAACCATTCCTGCTACAGATTGTTTGCATCTGGCGTGGGAAGCCATTGTTCTTCCTATCCACTGGACATTCTTCGTTTAGAATACGGCTGTTTGAATCGTGGATGGAAGCTTAGAGTTGTAGAAGCGTTTAGAAGATTGGGATTTGTGATCTTCATAGATAATGGATGGTGGACGGCCCAAAAAGCAAACACAATGATAACAAGTTGAAAACCTTTTTGGAGTAAAGTGCAGCGCCAATTTCATTTACAGCTAACACTTATGCAATGGAAATTCGACTATAAAATTGCTGCAGCAGCTGTCTTTTGGGTAATAAACTCAAGACTTGAGCTCTGTCTGTGTTGTGGAGTCTGTTCATTCGATTTGACTTATCCAATTATCATTCGATTTGACTGTTTTCTATTGAGCTTGATCCGGGGCTAAACCAATGGACTGACAGATATGCAACAGCCTGTTCATTGTTCAAGTCCAGATAGCCATTGAAAGGAAAGATACCACAGCTCTTGTAGTGACTTGTCTGGCATATGTCAGTGTGCTTTCTGATCTCAATGACTCGTGCAGCTGACTGGGTATGCTGGTTTAGAGAATTATAACTAAATCCACTGGATGAGAGATGCAAGCTACTTAAATAGTACATGTTAAATTTCACAGAAAGTACATCCCAGATTTAGTATTAAATTACTCCCAACTTACCTGTTTCCTTTTTGATGGTTGAGCTTCTTCTAGTTGACTGATGATGATTGCCCGTGCTGAAGGCCACCCTGTATTGATTGGAAGGAACGAGTTTGTTGAGCTTTCAATTTTTAGGTGGATTTTGGTTAGGTGGGACTTTGGGAGAGGCACAATTTCCTCTCTACTTTGCCATTAAAGTGAGCTTCTCTACAGGCGTGAGCTGTGACTAATTCTGGGGGACCTCCCATGTTTACGTTACAATCATTCTTTGCAGGTTTTTATTTATTTATTTATTTATTTATTTATATATATATAAATTGCATATGAAATCTTTATTGCCTGGCTTAAGATTCTGAGCCTGAATGCAATCTGTGAAAGCCATTGCTTCCATGGCCATGAGAAACTGGAACAACATGATTGTAGCTGTGATGCTTTTAGAGCTTGCCACTTTTTGCTTGTACAGCTCAGCTCAGATGGGGTGTCCATTGGAAGTTGAATAATAGAAACTAGTATTGTTTAGGGTTCCGGTGATTGTGTGCTCTGTCCCTACATGAATGTGTCATCTCTTTTGCATATACTATAGTTTATGGGACTGCTGAGGGTTAGGCATGCTATGACAACATTGACTTTTTGTCCTTGTGGACACTTCAGATATTAAAATTTGGAAAACAAAAATTAGATTTATTTGTACAATCTAAGATGCAAATGGGAAATGTTCATAAACAAAAACAAGGTTGGTTAGCCCAACATGGCTGGCTGTTTGAAAACACATTCAGGATGATTTGGATGACTGAAAGATGTCAAGAAAATGGGGCTAATCAAAAGAGAAAAGTGGGATATCAAAAAACCAAGGCAATAATCTGAAATTTAGTTTCCATCAAGTGAGAATTATTTCCAAGATGCCAGAGAGCCATGTTTCTAAGATCAAGTATATACTTGTCAACAGACACTGTAGTGAAATTGATATTTGATGAAAGATAAAGTGCCAGACAAAATCTCAAATGTACTTGAACATACAATTAAGAAGCCTGGCCACAAACATTTCACTTGTTATCTTGTGAAATCAAATGCTATTCAAGTGTTCCATCTTCAATGAGAAAGAAAAAATGTCACAAGGGAACCCATTGCCATCGCTAACTTTACATATATTAAGAGATACTTGGTTTGAATGAGGTTAGAATTTTCTTCTTCTAGCACAAACTCTGTATCAGATTGAACTTCATTCTGATTCTCCATGTTTCCATACATATCACTTGGAACAAATTTGTTTAGCAGTGACATTAATGCAGTCCGCACTTGCAATGGCTTCACTGTGACCCCTATTGTATTGATTTGTACCATCTGTTAACTCCTGGAATTCATTAGACTGACCATTTCTGGTGGACCTCCTTCTAGCTTTCTTCATCTTCACTATTCTGTTACTTCTCTAACCTGCAGCTGGATGTTAAAAAATTATTATAATACTAAAGAATTGATCCCATAAGAGAGATTTGGAGTCAATTTTGAGTATGAAAAATATACACTCATCATTGAGTTGAATTTTCAAAAGAGTTGAATTTTTATATGACTATGTTTATAACATATGACAATCATATCAATTAATAGTAAATTTAAACAAAAAAAAAACACCTACCATTGTTGAAAAATATATACATAAGTGAAATATGGCAGAAAGCAACGTAGGTACCTTGTTCTAGTTTTACTTTGGCATTCTTGGGTAAGGACAAATGGGACAAGAATCCTTGACCCGAAGACACCATGCTTTTCCTTGGTCCAACCAGAAAGGCTTAGGAAGATGCAAACAAAGATGCGAATGGGGTTTAGTCAAGAGCAAAACAATTTGGTGTTTGTGGTGCACCCATATTTTCCAACCCACTGCACTGTCCAAAGTGTTATGTAAAAGCCAGAATTGTTAGCAAAAGTGTCTTTCACGACTATTTTTGGTTACTAGCAAAGCCCTTTGCTGATTGGGCAAAACACTCATGGAAATAATGCACAACAATCTGTTTGATTTACCCTTTAATCCTTACCAAGAACCAAAGTATTATCCAAGTTGATGAGCATGACATCCCTGACCATTGAGTGAAACTAATTGCCAACATTTGCTTTTAATATTAGGAGATTTTCTTTGGAAAAGTATAAGTAGTTTACTGGGATGAGAATTGGAGATGTTTCCTTAACAAAATTATTCAAAATTTCTACTTCTTTGGAGTTGTGTGAATCTAAAACTTTATTTTCTTTTTCCAAACAACTCTTAATTCTAAGCTATATTTTATTGCCTATTACTAATAATAGCCTAATAGGATTTGTCTGCCATCCAATTTCCACATAAACAAATACTACCATTTAATGTAATTATCAATCTGCCAAGATGAATATTTCTATGTATCAATAGCCTAATTATCCTGCCAAAATAAAATGAAAATAGCCAAGGGGCAAGATATGATTGTTTGACTGACTGGGAACACATCTTCAAGGGACAGTGCTATGGTGAGGTGAATTATTCAATCAGGCTGAGAGACAAGCAACTACAATCTAAGAGTCCTAATTCAATGGAAATATTATTTGTGATGAGCAGAGGAAAAACCCAGCCCACTATGTAGGGAAATATGAGAATACTTACTTTTCACAAATCCGTTAAATTAATGGTTATGAACCTGGGTGGGCAATTAACAGCTTCAAAAGCTGAAATTGCAAAATAAGCCACATATCACCTGCGGTAGCGATAGCGCTTGAAGTTAAAATATATATGCGAAATTCCACGTTCGAATGTGCAGTTAAATCCCTTCTGATGAGAAAATTCCCACTCCTTGTTTACAATCTGGAAAGCCTGTGGAACAAATGCAAATGAGTTAGTAGTTTCCTTGGAAAAAAACATCTACAGATGGATCAGTGGTTTGGTCATGATAAGGCTAAACAAAATGAACTTACAATGTCCTCATAGGGTGGCCCAGCATGGAACTTTATGATTCATGTCCCCGTACTATTTCCATCCTTCTCAATGGTATATCCAGGAGCCTTTGTCTTATCGAAAAGTTCTGTGTAGAAAATATTAAACTTGTATCCTTGCACAATGTTAGGAGGTGGATTGTCATGATCATAATTGGTCTGGTTGTATTTGTTCCACTCATATCCAGTGTGAACATGTTTGAAATATTTTGGTTTTCTAGGTCGGTATTTGTCATGCCGCCAATACACCTGCACCAGTACATATATTAGTTGACTTCCCAAGAAAAAAATAGAGAGTGGCCAACTGCCAATTCCCAATTTTATATGAACAAAAATAGGACGAGTGGTTAAAGCACCTGTGAGTCCAAGTTTACTTCAGCACCAGAGCCAAGTACTGCATCTCCCTCCTCCATTGCTCCCATAGCTTTCATGGCTTTTAGCTCAAAGTTGTCTTCTGAAGGGGTAGGTTTTCATGCCATAACTTCTTGCATCCGTCTTTGCTGCTCCTCGAACACGGCCATACGTTTCCTTTCCTGTTAACATAAAATATGGTTAACCATAAATACCGCTTAGCTTGCATGCTCATTAAGAGGCAATTAAGATATTGAGTTACCAATATAGCCTTGTCCTCTTCAGGGGTCAATAGCTTCTTCATTTTCATCACCATGCAACAGTTCTGGTG